AACCATTCAAAAATATTAATATATCACTGAAGGAAGGGAAGTGAATTTAAACAGAAACAAATGAATCCAACTGTATTTCAAATGAATAATATTACCATTGAGAAGAGGGGGGTAAAAATAACCACACACACAAAAAAAATTCTAATCCAAATAACTTTTGAAGAGTTTCCAACCACATACCTTCAGTAAAAGGGAATCTCATCTTGCACTCTTTATTCTAGGTTTGTTTTCTAGAGTAGTATGGGTATAGAAATCCTGAAGATTATAGGATTAAGAAAAAAAAATTAATATTGCTGGGAGCCAGGTTCTCACTGAGGCAAACGGGAAACAAATTTAGAATCAGGAAAAGGAAAAAAACTCTGTGGAGTTGGAATGAAACTGGAAGTATCAGTATGTACTTATGATTTCTAAAATATTTATACATACTTTTTAGTTACGTGTATTGAAAAGACCTGGAAGCAATGACACTCTAGTGGCAATGAGCAAACGTGCACCCAGATCTTGGTTTCTAAATACCATTTTCCACTAAAAATGAACGAGGGCTCCTTAGAGAAAATGGCTGGTTCCAGAGCTGGGAAGGGAAGGCACGAGATAAGGCAAAAATAACTTGTGACAGAAAAGAAGGAAGTGCTCCCAATTGGCCAAATCTAGGACAATTTGGACAGCAAAATAAACAAGTTCTATAATGGGTTATGACACTTTATAAAGAATCCACGACTCCAAAGTGATCATTAAAAAGAATACATGGGCTTCCCTGGTGGCTCAGTGGTTGAGAGTCCGCCTGCCGATGCAGGGGACACGGGTTCGTGCCCTGGTCCGGGAAGATCCCACATGCCGCGGAGCGGCTGGGCCCGTGAGCCATGGCCGCTGAGCCTGCGTGTCCTGGAGCCTGTGCTCCGCAACGAGAGAGGCCACAACAGTAGTAATGGAGGGCTATCTCTTTTTTTTTTTCCTTTTCTCACAAAGTCAACTATACTTCAATAAATAAAATATTGACTATATTCCCTGGGTTGTACATTACATCCTTGTAACTTATTTTATACCTCATAGTTTGTAGTTTGTACCTCTTAATCCCCTTCACCTATTTTGCTCCTCCCACTGCCCCTCCCCTCTAGTAACCATTAGTTTGTTCTCTGTATCTGTGAGTGGAAGGCTTTTTTTTTTTTCTTCCCCTCTGAGGGCTATTTCTTACAGCAGAATGCTGACTGTTAAAATAGAGGGAGTGGTAGAATTGGAAAAATCACAATTTTTCAACTATCAGAGTAAAAGGTTGCTTCAGGCAAGAATCATCAATAGATGTCTAATCTAGGGGTAAAATATGAGGATCCCAATATCTGCATGATCTTAAAGCATCTCTCCATAGACAGCTTATTATTGCAAGGTGGAAAATATTAACTATGTACTGGAGAAGCCAGACCACACTTGGACCAGATGATCAAGTTAATATCACTAATAATGGGCAGACAGACATTGTGGACTTTAGACGTGATACCCTAAGAAGGACAGACTTTTATAATGTTCCAGCCAGAAATGTATCACCTGAATCTCATCATAAGAACCCATCAGAAATCCAAATTAAACAATATTTTATAAAATAACTAGCCTGTAGTCTTCAAAATTGATATCATTTAAAAAAAAAGAAAGGCTGAGAAATTTACAAATTAAACAATTCCAAGAGACATGACAACTAAATGCAACAAATGGTCCTGGACTAGTTCCTATGCTGAAAAAAACAAATATAATAAAAGACATTATTGGAAGAGTTGACAAAATCAGAATATGGACTACAGATTAAAGCATTGCATCACAGTTAAATTTTCCATATTTGATAAATGTGCTGTGGTTACAGAAATACACACTAAAGTACATTCTTAGGAGATACTCGCTGAGGTATTACTGTGTAAAGGGGCATGATATATACAACCTACTCTCAAATAGTTCAGAAAAAAACAAATTATGTATCAATATATAGAGAGAGCTAACTTCAAGGAACTAACAAGTTAACTAACAATTTAATGGGGAGAAAGGCACGCAACTTACACATCATTAACCCCTAATTTTGAAAAAAAGAAAAGGAGTAGGTAAAGATCAAAGTAGTGGGAAATGTTCTTTGGGAAATAACATACATTCAACCTCATCCATTTTCAGAAATCCTTGTTTGAGTGGTTTTCTACAAGCACAATACACGGTGGGAAAAAAAGTGCTCTGAAGCAGGACACTTGGTTTCCAGATTCTACACACGGTAGCTTTGTGACTTTAGGCTTGTCACTTAACCAGCCTTGGCTTCAGTTACCTCGCCTTAAAATGTCAGTATTATCTTACTAGCCTAAACCGGAATCATCTTACCAGCACAAACCAAATTGTCAGGTCTAAGATCTGCATTACTCACATACGCCTCCATCTGATTCTCCAAGTAATCATGGCCTAGGAACCAGTGTAAGCTAGGTGAATTCCGGTTTCTAAACCGAACTTTTACATCACCAAGAGAATTAAAAGGCCCTGGATTGTGCTTTAAACGGCGTGACTCAAAAAATGTACTACACAGGCCATGACACAATCTTATAAAGATGATCGAGAATAACTGATTGTCTTATCTGTGTACCATCCTAATACAATAGTAGGGTGTATTTCCTACCGTGAATCCGAGTTTCAGCATTCCTGAAACCACGCCTCCCGGAGAAATCCAGGAGATATCAGAAAAACCTCTCAAGGGGGCGCGGAGAGAGATCCCGGATAAACCAGGACAAGCTTCCAACCAAAACCAAAACCCAAACAAACAAACATTCTCAAACAAAAAACAAAACACACTTGTTTCTTCCCCTCCAGCTATGCAGCTGCACCCAAAAGAAAAGCACTAGATTAGCATCATGTGCATTTCATTCCTTTTCTTTTGCAATACTAGCTGACCGCCTATAATAAACAGACCTTGTGCTCAGGGGAGAATTTACTTCCCCGTCCAGTAAAAACGAAGTTCCTTATTTTCACTAACAACGAAAGCCGTATTCAATCAATACCCACCCTCCCTGGGGAGACCAGACACTCCTCTCCCCGCCACCTCCTGCTGCCCGCCTGACGCCCCACACCCCAGAAATCGTCCCACTTTTCGAGCCCCTGCTGCACGGGTCGCGAGGCTCTGGGGGAAAGCGGAAGAGACCGGGGGTGCGGCGTACACACCCGGAGGGGCGGCCGGCACGGCCAGCGAGCCCCAGGCTACCTTGGCCGGCCCGGGGCTCGCGAAGGCGGAAGGGGTGCGGCGAGCTCCGCGCCACCCCCACTTACCCACTTTGTCCTTCCCGTACATGTGCCCGGCCACCTGATGCGAGAGGGGCACGCAGCCGTTGAGGAAGCGGAGCCTGCCGCCCGCCGGCTTCAGGGTGCCCTCGCGGGAGGTCTCGCCCGCCGGTGGGGTCCGCATTTCTGGGGGGCCGGGCGCCTCAAGCCGGAGAGGGGATGGCGGCTCCGTTGCCATAACGGAGAGCTGAAGCGGCAGCAGCAGCGAGAGCAGGGAAGAAAATAAGGCGGAGGGAGAGGACGCCGGAGAACCCGGGGGTCGCTCAGGCTCGGCCGCGAGGAGGCCCGGGGGTTCCTGCGGCTGGTGCCCTCTGTGGCCCAAGGAGGGGGCCCATGACGCCGCGAAGGCGCGGGCTCGCCCTGCCCAACTCTCGGCGGAG